AAGACGAGCTCTTCAGTCCCCAGCAGCCCTCAGCCGGACATGAACAGAGAAAGCCCAAGAGACCGCGCCTTTAACAACACAGTTTCTGGAGCCCAGAGTCCAGGTAATGGAAGTCTTTATGTAGACTGCTTATAGCATTCATTTAATTTGCAAAGTGTTTAAAATATAGTCATGTAGTAATGATGGAAGTGGATCAGTCGGTTAGTCCCCAGTGGACTGGTAAATGAATTAATTTTTCTCTACCCAACATTTAATGTTGTGCTTCCTCTCCTGTCTTCATTGCTGCTCTTCATGTCTGACATTTGATATATGTATTTGACATATTTAGCCACTGTACCTGTTCATTATGCTAATTCCTGAAGCGAGAGATCTGCTGTCATTAGATCTTTTCAAATTAAAATATAAATGAGAAGTTGAGGCCTGAACTTTATTTTGCCTGCCAGGTGGCGATGTTGCTGCAGAGTCAGAGCTGCTGTGTCTGACCTCCCCGGTGGACCTGCTGTGTGGTCCTGTACCATCCTGTTTACCATCACCCCAGCTTCACCCCGACCCTGTTCTCCTCCAGCAGGCAGACCTGATTCACTTTGAAGAGAAAACTCCACCACCAGCAGGTCAGTTTTATGTATTTGCATCAAATTTAAACCGTTACTTGTTAATAATAGTTTTGCAAAGTGACTCTTAGCTTTGTCTGATTTAGAAATCAGGTTGTTAACACAAGAGATCAAATGGAAACAAGATTTGAACTGATCAGTGTTTTTATTGTTTTGTGTGAGTTTCTTTGGAGCCTGAAGAATTTGAGTGGGGATGTTCATTTAGTTGTTTTTTTCCTGACAGATAGCCATATTGTTTTATTTAGAAGGTATACGTGTTTGTGTTGTTAAATAAAATGAACAAAATTAAAGATTTTAAGATCTGCTATTAGTAAAATGGCAAACTGCAGGGTTACGTGGCCTTGGCACAAATGTCTGCTCTGAGACTGTTATTGTTTTCAGGTGTAAGAGCAAGAAATGTCTCTGTAGGAGAACAAAAATACATTTTAATTAATTCTTACACAATAATTCACACTTCAATTTGCACCTTTTGTCTTTCGTGAGGTGTAAGCTCAGTGTGTGACTGTGATTTCAGAGGGTGATGAACTCGAGACAGCAGCTGCAGCAGTCGCTTACAGCACATCCGAGCCACATGTGGAGTGTGGCAGTGCAGAAGAGTCTGCCGTCACCAAACCTCCAAAAGCTGCCAACATGAAGACCCCCTTGACCATTGACAGTCCCAACAGAAGAGCTTCACGCAGCAGAATCAAGCTAGCTGCCAACTTTTCCTTCACAGCAGGCCTCTAATCCTGTCACACGCACACATCCAGTCCCATACAGACAAAGCAGTACTAGCTCACACATAGTGTAACTCTAAATGGATGAGTTGACCGGCTACACTAAACACACTTCACAGAATTGACCACAGAAGAGCATTGGTATTATTATCCCCTCTACAGACAGGCTGTTGTATTCTTCCTTCTTCTTTATCACTCATTCTTTGTTCCATCTTTCTTCTCCCAGTGAAGCTCATCAAGCTGTGAGTTTACTCTTTGCAGATTTTCTGCAATTCTTTTATTTGCCAAATTCATTGACCATAACTGTGTTGATTTCATGGGAAGTTAAAGTACATCTTCAGTTTTGAGCCACGCTGTGTGAAAACACAAGCTGGCTTACAGACAATGACTGAAGCTGAGTAAGTTGTCACTGTTTAGAGAACTTGTTAACAATGGTAGACATGCTTGGTAAAAGTAACCCAGTTTTCTCTGTTGAATCCAAAAAAGTTTAGTTGCCCTCATTCTCATTCAGTTTTAAAAACCTGACAAATACCTGAAGGTTTGAAGAGATGCTTTGTTCATGAGAAACCTTCAGAATTGCTTCCTTTCTGAATCCTCCAAAGCGTAACTTTTCATTTATAACATTTACTCATTTTTGAACTAATTTCAAAGTTTGGAGATTTTTGTAGGTCACCCCAGACATGTCAATCAAACTGGCTGCTATGTCATTCTTTTAGTTTTTTCTAGAGCAAACCATTCTCTCTGTACTTGGCTCAGGAGGTAACATCTCTTAGAGTATATTCTCAGCTTTTTTTCTCTGTTGTTAAGTAGACCCAAGGACAGTATTTTCAGTTGCTTTTATATTATGCAGAGTATTTAGGAGACAGTTTGGTTCGTTTGGCCTGATTGTGGTGTATGTGTAGTCATTTCAATGATGAAACTGCTCAGAAGTGTCTTCTTTAAAGGAAGCTAACAGTCTCTGAACAGTTTGGCTCTAATGGTTTTGATTAATACTGCGACAATTGCTGCTCTCAGGAATTTTTCTTGTAGAATATCGACTTAATTTCTAGCAAAGATTCTGGCTTGTCTCTTCGAGACCACTAATGAAGACCTGACGGAGAAAAGGTGGCTCTTTAATACTCCAGCCAGGTGTGTGCTAAGGCAGCAGCAACTGACATACTTTTTGTCTGCAGCCAGTGTGTTTGTGTTCTCTTAGCTATATTTTGTCTGTGAGGGGTTTACACTGGAGTAGGTGGTGTGTAATGTGCATGTTGTGCATAAATTAATTTATGCATGGTGTAAGCCCAGGAGGAGCAGATGATACCTCAACTTTCTTTAAGATCAGTCTTTTATTTCCACCATGTTTTAAGGATCTTGAAGTTGGCGTCATCGCTGTAGTTGCTACAGAAATGATCAAGGTTTTTTAGACAACCTTGTCCACACCGTCTTGAGTTGATGAGTTGTAGAGGAGCAGCGAGCACTCCTTAGAATTTGATTTTTAATGACGAGGTGAACGGTTGTGAGGTTTTAGGGAGAGGAGATGGGAGAGCGAGGCGATGGGCTGTTTGTGGAGCAGCATGGCGACTTCGTGAAGCCTCCCGAACAGACTGTGACGTACACACAGAGGACCCCCTGCGGCTCTCTGGAATCTGCCGGGCTTTTACAATGGCTTGTATTTGCCACGGTGCCAAAGGAATCGCCGTCGTTCCCCTCCCATCCCTCACGTCCCACATAGAGGAGTTTTTACTGACTGATGTGTGTTGGTTTTCTCAGTTTACCTCTTGTCTCAAGTGTTTACAAGACTGCTGGCTGCTGAAGCGCCACCAACTATTATCGGCTGTCAAGAAGTTTAGCATGACCCAGGCGCCGCTGTTGAAAGAATGGGTAGGAGCTCATTCGATCAACTCCTGTGAAGTTTCAGTGTTTAGCAGGGTTTCCTTTTGTCAAATTTGATTTGACTTGATTTTGACTTGGTGTGCAAAGTTTTTATTGCTGAGAGATTCCACCTACCAACTCACTGAAATGTCTGAAGCACCAATTGGAATGTTTTTAAATATGACTGCTAAGGCTCATTTCTCCTACGCTGTTTTACTGACTGTCTGGAAACCTCTAATAAAAAAACTGAGCAGTTCAGAATAATAATTTATAATTGCTAATGATAGAAAATGGCATAAACTGCTCATAGGAATTATCTAGATTTAAATTTTGGCTTTATGAATGTGTATTTGGGTAACTGTAGCATTCCTCAGTGTACCTCAGTGGCAACTAACTCAGATGTATATTTGATCTTCCCTATTGAAGCCTTCTCTTGTTGCTTAGTTACATCAGTGAGAAGCTATTGTATCTGTCCAAATATGCACTTCTGCATAGTTTTGGTTCATGAAATACACATGTGAAATGTTTTTGTGTTGGAGAGGGGTTGAAAAGTATGTGTATTGTTAATTCATTGGATATAACTGTCACTCAATGTTGCTTAATTCAGTTAATACATTTCAGGACAGTTCTAGTCTGCAGTTTACTGTTAAAATATCATCTCAAGGAACTTTCTTCAGTCGTCATTGCAGTGTTCGTGAAACTCCTTTACATTTTTGTTTACCTGCACAACAGTTTTCTCTCCATTCACTCGCTGATTTATTGGCTCACTGCATCAGAAGTCGCTGTAACAGTCTATCAGTGAAGGGACCAAAAAGATTTACGTTAATAAATTTCACAAGCATCAACCTCTGCCTCGTCTCAAAAATTTGTGTGGTTGTTTTTGAAAAAAGGAAACCGGCCATGTTCCTGAAAGATGCTCTTTATTTAAACATATATGTACAAGTAGTATCAGCTTATTTTCTGCATATTTGTTCAATACTCAACATCAGGACCTTCATAAATGTACTACAACTACAGAACACTAAGTTATCAGAGGGAAGGTAAAGTGACGAAGAGCAACACTTTGCTTGACATGAGTCACTAAAGTCCTAAATACACTCAAACATACACCATGTTATCGAAGGCATTTACAAGAGAGTTGCATTCATTTCCTGATGTTTATCATAAAAACGCAAGACTGAATTCAGATGCAAGTGGTTTGTTTGTCAGCAATATCTGTGAATTCCATAATGAATGATGTCACACATGTCAATAATTTCTCAGTAGCTGATGAGATGATGTTTGCACGGTTGATGATGTGTTCTGTCAGAGGAATGAGTGATTTAAATTAACAATAAGTATGAATGGACCATTTCAAATAGTATACATAAATTAATAAAGCCTCCCATCATATATTGTAGTGTATTGGCATATACAGGGGTTAACAAGACAACTTTAAGTGTTACTTGTGGAAAACGCTGTTAGAAAAGTGGCTCAAATGAGGTTACATTGCTGTTAGAATTGAGTGACGCAAAATATTGAACGCACATTTCAGTGTAGTGCTACAAAATGATCTTCAACTCCAGGCTTACTTCCATATGCGTGTTCTTTAAAGGGTAATTCTGTTATCTTTAATCCTGGGCCCTATGTTTCTAAATGTGGTAAGTGGCATTTACGAAAACCTTTTGGAATTGGTCCAGTAGATTGTCTCCACTGTCAGCTGTGACACAGCAGCAATGGCTCAATGAAATCGTATAGGGCAAATGTGACGGTGCACAAAATGTCCAATAAAAGTGGATTTTTCACCAATAATATGCACAGATTTTATTCTGGATCTTTGCTAAGAGTCTGGCAACATTACACATGACTCACTCAACGAGAAGTGTCACTCCTTTCGACTACATGGACATTTCTTGGACTGTCACTGTTGCCCCATTAGATTCCATTGTAGCAACCATGTTCATGGCAACGAAGCCGATTGACTGGACCGATTCCAAAGGTTTTTTTACCATTTATTTTTGTTAAATGTATTTTTTAAATTGATCACAAATAGGGCCCATATTGAAATATACCATAGTTCCACTTTAACACCACTATATACCTTTGGTTTGATCATGTGATCTCTGCTGGGTTTTTTGAGGAACACAAAAGAGCTGCAGATGATTTAGTTTTAAAGATGTTAATGATGCACCTGCAGTTTAGCCAAAGTTTATTTTATGTTTAGTTCATTTTCTCATCATGTTGCTTGGACAACACAATTGTGTTTGCAGTGGTGTGATGGTTTCATCTGAATTGAGTGTTCAGAGAATTATTCTGCTGTTTGAGCCAAAGCATTGAAACAAAAATATTTGTCAGCTACAGTCCAAACAGCATCCACCACTCTCCTGCATTTACACCTTGGTCTACATTTGCACGTTCACTTAATCTGCAGCCACATTGTTTGTATGAACGGTTTGCTCCTCCCACTTGGTAACAATGATGAAAACGTGAAGTTGTATGTCTCCTGAAAGTCAGGTTAGTCAGGTTAGTGTTAAGTGGCTGAGATGGAAGAAGAAATATCCATTATCAAACGAGATGAAAACAGGATTTTTTTTTCCAGTCACACAGAGAAACCCAGGATTTACACTTCTCTCATCGCTTGTAGTTCTCCACCTACATGTACTGTGTATCAGATACATCACCATGGACCCTATCACCACCCTATAAAGGAAGGTCATTCATTTTTTATTTACAATACCCACATTTCTCTTTCTACTTTACTCCACATACACAGCTGAAGCAGTCTGCACTTTCACGAGCTGTTCGAGTACTGATCAGGGATAAGTTTCCAAACATCTGGATGCCCCTTTGTGGCAGAAACTGTATTAAAACTACAAACCTGACTCCTGAACAGGGTCCAGGGGAGACACTGGGCTTCTCTGAGTCACAGGAAGTGATGTATGGCATGTCAAGTGAAGCACATGTGTTATTCTGACGTGTGAACGGAGTTATTAAGAGGTCTCTTGTCGGTTACATGACGGCACACTGGGTGGCTCCGCAGCAGTCCTTAATGATGGCCACTCCTGACTTGGTGATGGATGGTTTGTTGGGCGGCAGCTCAAGGATTTGTCTCTTAGGCTTTGGAGGATCTTTCCATTAAGAAAAAGGAAAGGGAAATGATCAAGAAAATAGAAATAGAAGTGCATATACAACTTGTATTTTAAACATCTCGCTCACTTTGTGCGTCTTTGAGCTTCTTCTCCAGAGGAATCAGCTTCAGTCTGAGGAACTCTGCCATATCCTTGTCCTCCTCTCGCTCCCTGAGGACCCAAACAATTAAAGCAATAAATCACATGTCAACTGGGTGTGGCCTTGTCTCACCATCAGAAATGAGTTAATGTTGTTATAGACAACAATGCATTAGTTGCAAGGTAAATTACTTTAAAATCTTTATCGCATAGTAAAAACTATATTTTTTTAACCGAGTGTACCCCTTTGTGTTTTTCATCCATTATTAGGGATTCATCTTGTAGAAAAATGGAAGCTCTTGAGTGTAATACTGATATATGAGGAGTACAAATTGGGGTCGATGTATGACAACTTGTTATTCTTATTGTGGCTCAGTGTGTCGTAAAGAAACATTTTGATGAAGCTGTTAAAAATAACACATTGCAGTTATAGTGCACTTTCTAAATGAATTGTTTCAGCTCCACAGACACTTGTTCATTCACTGATTAAAACCAGTCTGTGATTTTTACATAACTTGTCTGGATGTTCTCTGTGGGTTATCTGTGGCAGCAGAGGAGGAGGAAGCAGAAAAATGAGAATGAGCAACCATGGTCATCAGTCAACCCCCCCCCCACACACACACAGCAGGCAGTGTCGTATTGATGAAGTGAGCCCATCCCCAGTCGTCAGTCATTTGTTGCATAAATTCACTCTAGTGAGTCTCCGTCCTGTTGTCTCTCACCCACCCTGTGATTCTAATGAAGAAACAATGGATGCTCTTTAATCTGACACTGACTTAAAAAACCAACAGCTCCCGGCGAAATCACCACACACACCGACTGACTGAGCCTACATGTTGGAGCACTCCACCTTAATCGCTCCACCTCAGCATCATCCACAAGGAAATCCCTCTTCTGCACCAGTTTATGGATCTTCAGGATCAGCTCTTCTTCCCGCTGCCGGTGCTTCTTTGTTTTTTCTTTCTCTGGGGGAAAGGAAGAAAGGAAAAGGATGAAAGGCAAAGTCAAACAAATAAATTGATGTATGGAAGGGGGAGGACAAGCAAGCAGAACTAAACCCATAATATTTTACTTCCCAGTGTAGACTATAAATTCATGTTCTATACATGTAGTTATTTGTAACAGACCTTAAAAAAATACTGACTACAGCAGGGACGGATCCAGGAGAAGGCCCAGGGGGGGCGCTGGCACCAGCTCAAATCTGAGTGGCCCCGTGAAGTGCCCCTGTCCTGTCAGTTTTTGTTGTTAAATAAACTAGTTACTTACTAACAATAAAAATGACAATTTTTTAAGAATTGTTATTTTCTAATCTTTTTTTGAGGTACACAATGATATTGAACAGGGAACAATTTTCAAAATATGCTCACTGATCTGCTTTTTTCAAAGCTATAGAGTTAACAGTAAACAAGGAATGACTTAAATGTGCACGTTCTACTGAATCAGGTATTGTACATGGATATTGAACATATTTTTGGCCCCTCCTGTGTAAATTGTGGCCTCTTTATGATCCCAGTTTCAGAAAAACCCTAGATGTGCCACTTCTGTATAGCGAAGTCACCTGGGTCTTAAACCCAGAGTCACACCACAAACAGACCCTTAATTCTGTGCTCATGTATAATGTATGTAAAAAACAAGGCACTGATTTAATAATGCAAATGCTAAAGAGCTCTTTGTCCTGTCTCAACTGGAGAAGACATTTGCATTCACAGTAAGAGACTCACAAACGCAACATCCACTTTGACTTCCCTAACCTTCACACTCCAATACACAGTCAAAGACACATGAACAGACCAAACAACGTGCATATATAGACACACACACACAGGCAGGGTTTCTCTCACTGTTGCCATCCAGGCTACTTGGAAAAGGGGGGTTTGAAAAACAACTGCAAACATCAGCTCTTTCTCCCATCTGGAAATAAAAGTGGAGCAGAGCAGCTCCAGTGTATATCCCCCTGAGGGGCGGGCCAATCTGAGTGGAGCATGGCTGCGATGCACAATGTCAGAGGCGCAGTGGAGGCAGCATGCAGTGTGTTTGTGGCCCTCATTGTACTGCTGTAAGTTATGGGATGCCAGAATACCCAGCAACTGCATCCATGAGGCCCCATTGGCTCACAGGAATGTCAACGAGGGGCACTTTTTTTGCGACAGCGTGCAGTTAGTGAGACCAATAATCGCGAATGGATAGTGGGCGGACAAAGAAGGACCCTCAACAGTAGAGAACAAAGGTCACTCCCTTAAAAAACAACTGTCGACTGTATCCAGGATACTTCAGTTCTGCATAGTGGAAGGAATCAGAAACACATCGTCCATCTCTATCTACTGCCCTATGAGACAAATTGTCATTTGTGAATATGGGCTTTACAAATAAAATTTGATAAATGAATTATCAATATCAGGCTTCTCTGACAGACTGTGGTGGAGGTTGGCCTCAAACACAAGCACTTTGTGCTAAAAATGACAGCGAGGGTTGACAGCTGTGCATAAAGAGTATGTTGGTTGTCATGTCGATGTAGGTTGTTTCTGAAGCAGAATGTGTGTGTGTGTGTGTGTGTGTGTGTGTGTGTGCGTGGGTGCATGTATGCATGTGTGTGTGTGTGTGTGTGTGTTTGAACTAGTACCTGGTACTGCGACAATCTGCCTCAGCTCCTGCTTTAAACTCATGATGTCTTTGCAGAGCTGAATGTCATCCATCCTTTGAAAAAAGAGACAGAAAGCAGAAAATCACTTGCTTCCATTGGATTAATGAAGAGCAGAAGCTGCTTCCACTCTGGATGTTGTTATCTGAATGAAATCGTGTTAGACAGAGTTATGTCTTATAACCAACCCTGACAGAAAAGCAGATGTAGTCAAGAAATCAGCTGGAAGGATCGCAATCAAAAATGATATTTAAAACAAATTACTTGCTTGACACAGACACCTTTTTTATTTTTTTTTATTATCTACAAATTGGAGTATTACCCTACAGCTTAATGTTTATATTAATACAAATAAAAATGTAAATTGCAGTACTGTAACTTTATCATCATGAATCGTTTTATCGATGGTGGACTTTATAGATTACATCACTTTGGTCTAGACTGCCGTGATATTTTGAACAGAATTCATTGATGCTACTTGATGTTCACCCTGACATGAGGGATCTCTGAGTGTCACATTCATGGTTTTGCATCAAATGAGGACAACTACTGGACAGAGTGGGATGAAATATCAGTTCATCAGTTGATTTTGTCCAGTAATCTGGTTTATTACCAAACAACTGCCAATATTATGCTAACATGCTCAAACAAGATTACACCTGCAGAACAGCACAGTGTTAACATTATCATTGAGAGCATGCTAACATCAGCACAAAGCTCAAAGAACCACAAAGCAAAGCTCACAGGGATTTTAGCATCGAGCTACAAAGTGTCTTTGAGCTTGATTGAATAGGTTATTGAATGTTTTTCTCAAACATTTTATAGCATATAGCTTAAAAGACCATTACTCACTGCAAGATTGTTCATGGTAAATATTTCAGATCTTATTTAATCTTAACAATAGTCCAAAACCAAAGATATTCTATAATAACATAAAATCATTATTCACATTTAGGTACAACTAATGTTTGGAATGTCTGGCTTAATAAATCACTGAATTGATTAATCAGCAATTTTTTATTCACTATGGTAGTTCTTTTAAATCAGTGTAGAAAACACTTAATGTATTAAATGCAGTTGTAATGTTTGTCCATGTAGAGAACTTTGAATTGCTTTATTTTATTGTCTTTTAAATGTAATTTGAATGTCTTGTTTTAATGTATTATGTTTTCATGTTTCCCCATGTCTTTGGAAAGCACTTTGAATTGCCTCTTGTCTAAATATTAATTTATAAAACTTGCCTTGCCCGAATAATTGACACATCATTTCAGCACTAATCACTGTGTTGCTCCTAATCTAATTCGCTGTTGTGCTTGTCAGTGAGACATCACAGCCTCGACACCCCCGTGTGTCATATATATCACGAGTGTGTGCAGATGGAAAACATGCGAAAGAAATCAATCCGCGCTGCTCTCTGAGCCTCCTGCAGCCATGACGCCTCATCCTCGGGGGCATCCACATTTTCCCCTCCACTTCCCTAAACCCCCTCCCTCTCCCTGCAAAGCAGTGACAGCTACCACAGATTTAATTCTCCCTGTGATAGATCATGTCGATGACTCATCCACAGCCTCCTTCCACCTCCTCCTCCTCCTCCCTCTGTATTTATCCCTGCTCCTTTTTTTCACCTCCCTCCTGCTTTCTCCCTTTAGCTTCTTATTCTGCCTTGTGTTTTACTCTCTCAATGCAATCTGTGGATTCCAGCAGCTTCTGCACTCTGACACTCCATCTGCTACTTTGTGTGTGTGTGTGTGTGTGTGTGTGTGTGTGTGTGTGCGTGCGTGTGTGTGTGTGTGTGTGTGTGTGTGTGTGTGTGTGTGTGTGTGTGTGAAGATCTTCTGCCTTGAGTCACACAGAGCCTGACAACAGAGCAGTGTGCAGTAAGCATCGTGGCGGCCTAATGAAGCTGCTCAAGTGGGCGTGTGAACTAATGTTATCAACCAAGTGAAGGCTCTGAGATGTGTATCAGCTTCATCCCACATGAAAACCATCACACTGCAGATGTTAATGACCCACAAAATACACTTTGGTTTTTTATATGTAACAGTGGTGATATGATTCTATATTTATAGGTTGAAAAACAAGTGAAAAACAAACTGCCGCAGACCACGGCTCGTTATTCCCTCATTCAACTTGTTTTTTATAACGGTTTTACAATGTAATAACAGAGATTTTTGCATAATAATATGATTTTTCCTGGCTCACCAAGACTAGACTGTCAAAAGCAAAGTGTAACAAAAACTAAATCTTTGCTCCACATTAAAACAAATAAAACAGATATGGCTTCAAAACAAGACCGCTCAGCAATAGACCTGCATGGTTCAATGAAGACTCATATAAGCGTGTCATATATTTTTTATATTTAAATCAATATTTTATTTTCCACTAATTGTCTGTTTTTATGTTCATTGTTTGTCTTTTGTCTTGTATGTAAATGTATAGTTGTTAATTTGAGCTGCATTTCCTATATGAAAGGTGCAATATAAATAAAGTTGAACATTGTATTATTATAACTATATATAATCAATATAAAATAAGATTCTTCACAGTATAAATAATTGTATAACAAGAAATCAGTATTTCTAAAATTTAAAGTTAAATAGTTATAACTATCCCTACAAATCAAAAAGCTGAAAAGAGGCTTTAGTTTGTTCTTAATTTTGCTAATTTGCAAAACTACCTGTAATGTTTAATATCAGCCAATGTATTTTTTTACATATTAAAATGTACACCTGTGTGGGCTGATGAGTTAATACTGTCTCATATCATCCATTCCTACATGTTCTGTGAGTCTGTCGATTATTTCATTAATCAGTCTATGGACGGATCGATTAATCATTTATGTCGTCTTTAAAACAACAACGTTGAATAATTAATGGTTACAGCTGCTCAAATATCAGCATTAGCTGCTTTTCCTCATCTCACATTATATCAAAAAAGTAATAACAATAAATGATAGTAATAGTAAAAAAAGGCATCTGATTTAATTACTTTAGCGAATTGTGATGATCTTTACTGTACTCTAATTATGAAAATAATTGAGTTGCAGCCTTGTGTGTATCGAACAATACATTAAAACACCAGATCTGTATAGTTTTAAAATCAGTATTTGTTCATCAGTTTGTTAACGTCCGTGTTACCAGAGAGAGCAGACACAACATCCTGAGATGACGACAGCGAGGACTCAGACAGAGATAATACAGAATACCATCCCTGATCCTTGAAGCTATTGTTGTTGATGACGAGCCAATGAGTTCATGGTGGTGACTCACAGCTGCTGTCAGGCTCTGAATAATCAATGGACAAATGGACTGCCTCGCTCAGGATCGAAACCGTCTTAAAGCTGCCCACTTATGTCACATAGAATCAACTTCCTAGTGCCGCTGCAGTGGGTGACGTCGGTGTCGACTGTGTGGCGGCAACAAGGCCTTCATCGCTTCATCATCCACTCAAGGACGGCAGCAGCAGGGACTGTAGTGACAGCGTATTGATTATAATCTCCGTCACATTCTGGGACATGTGGTGTCATGGAAACACAAAAAAACGGACACTTCAGGGACTCACATGAAGCGCAGCTCTGACTCCCGGCGCACCAGGACCTCCCGCAGGCGCTGGATACGAGTCATCTCCACCTCGATCTCATCTGGAGACATGGTGCTCTCTGCCATGGACACGTCTGAGTGACCTGAGAGGAAGTGGGACGACACACAGTCAAAATGAAAGAGGAATAAAAAAGTTCAGATGGGAAGCAGAAGAAACAAACAGCAGACTGTTTACTCTCCACAAGGGCACCGCTGTTTGATCTCGTCTGTTATGCAACTCTCCTCACCTTGAACAGTGCTTGAGAGTTTAAATGAGTGAAAATACTCACCACACTCACAGACTCCAGCGGGTCGACACGTACGTATAGGTTTTTAATCATAGGTTCCTTCTCCTGTAATTTCCTGTGACTGTTTCATCCTTAAATTCTTAAATTCTGTCGTTTTTATCTCTGTAAACTTTCCTGTGGCGTCCTCACCTCGTCTCTCGTGTTACCCCGATCAATGCACTGCTCACCACTAATGCTGCGGCACCTGCACTGACCTAACCTGCATGTTACAACATAAAATCATATAGTGTGATACTCATTTTTAGTTTGCAGTAGTCATTCAGCTGACTACTCCCAAATATGTATCATATATCAAATCATTAAAAGAACACTTAGAAACACATTAGAATCCACTTACTTGTTAAAAACTGGGAAACATATGTATATCTCTTTATATAAGTATATATTTAGGTTGCCTTCTGTGACTCTTGACAGTTTGAGAATAATGCCTGTGATAATATTGTAGTGATATCATCACAGTTTTGTCTTGACGCTCTTTAACAGAAGGGGGTGAGGTCTACTGAGAGACGAGTTACATTATGGACCGTATAGGATCAGGGTTTTTCAGATGTGACGAGAGGTTTAAGTTCAGGATATTTTGGCCTCTGCTGCTTCCTCTATCAACCATTATTGAGGAGTCATGAGAGATTAAAATAAAAGAAATAATTAAATGATTTTGCAATACTGTAAAATGTTGCAATACTACCAAACCCTCAGTCACATGCCTTCGACTAGGTTCTCTTCAGCCATGAGTCATCAAAAGTTTTCTTCCACATTTATGCAGAACATGAGAATTTCCCAGAGCCAGAAGTAAATGCTCCACAACGAGACTGGATGTCAACACAATCACCCGAAGCTGTTGTCAGAGTCCATGTGTAAAAACATTAGGGCTGTGTTTAATTACTATAAACATCTCATTCAAGGAAAAGAAATAACGCAAATATTCACATTTGAGCAGCTGGAATCTGGATGTTTGCTTTTCTTCAAATGCAGGTTCACATTTGTTAAAGACAATGTTATTTGTCCATGTGTTTGCTCACATATCCACATGGTTCTTATTAAAATATCACTCTGATCACCTGTCCATACTTGCTGTGAACTAATCCCTTCTATATATAAGAACATTTTCCCAGGCTACAGCCTGATCTGGCCTGAGTAAACAAACTATTTGCTTATTTGATTCTGAGCTGTCAAATGTGATGCACAGTATTTCCCCACAGTGTAACCGAGGAGTGGATCAGCGCTTCATCCTCCTGCAGCAACACAAACTGCAGTGTGAGTGTTTGTGGTACTTTTTCAGGGATGCTTGCTGAGGATAGAGCTGACTCACCACAGCAGACAGAAGTCTGAGGGCCCAGTTCGCTGATGTCGAATCATCACGGTAAAGTGTCTGCTCAGAACAGACTCGGACTCAAACAAATCTAAGTTTTTCTGATGAAACTGCAGTGTGATATGAAACACACTCTTGATTTCCCCCTCTTTCCTTTCTCCTGTTGTACTATTGCAAACACCCACGCAGCTCGCTCTCAGCCATGTGCTCATTATCAATGAGACAGAGCAGCATTATGTCTCGGACGGGCCATTAAAAGCGGCAACGTGCCAGCTCAATAATGTCTAAACAGCTCCGACCCCTTCTGGGCAGAACACATTCACATTCACATTCTCAGCATTAAACACGTTACAAGGACAGAACAACTGATTAAAAGCAGTGTTCACCAGGTGAACTCACATCACACACCACACACTGTCAAAAACAAACAGGCTCATCAGTGCAGGGACATTTTAAGGGGCCATTGCTCTAACCTGAAATAAGGCAACACCCCCCCATGCCAGCCTAATCTTACACATTAGTGGAGATAGGATGAGGCTCTTGTAAACTGGTTAAATAGGATTTTGCGTCTAGAGCTTCACACGTCATCTATCAGTTTGCAAACCACAATATTCAAACCTTGTAAAGAAACTCTCAATAGTTAAATTATCATTATGAGTAGACATTGTGTACGACATGTAAAGCAGAAGTTGAAAACTACATTTTGCAAATTCAGAATCCCAACACACCATAACTGTGATAGTGTGAAGAGGAAAGGGGCATAGGGCATCACTTTGCATCATTGTATTTCTTCTATGACTCATATTTATGCAGATACAACTTGTATGTTCTTCAGAGGGGCAGCTCAGTCAAACAGGACAAACAAAGAGTTGCCCATGCAACTTTAGTTCAATGCTGTGCACGTCCACCCATCAGTGGACGTCAGGATTATGATTCGATGAGGAGTCAATAGCCTGGAGAGCATAGGGGGACCTTGATGGTGCAACGACCACTGGAGGCTACACAACAGGGGAGGTGTCAGCTTCTGTGTGACACCCAATACAGAGGGCCTGACACATCCTGCAGACACACAGAGCTGCTGCTGATGATGCTGTACAGCCTCTGACACCCTCCACCCTCCTCTCTCTCCCCTACTCCTCCTCCTCCTCCTTTTCCTCCAATAGAAAAAAACTAGATGGTGAGCACAACATAGAAAGTGCAAGGTAAACACAGGCCGTGTTTGTCTTTGTTTTAAAGGGGATAAACTTGGTAGGAGGGACGTTCACCGAGCTTAAGCTCTGTTGTTTTCTCGCTGCATGTGTGTGTCTGTGGGACTCACAGGGAGAGAGAGAGAGAGAGAGAGAGAGCAGTGGCTGAATCTGTGTCTAAAAATATCCGCTGCATTTTTTTCCTCTCTCTTCTCTGACTTAATCTGGAAGTTTCTTCACACCCTGTTCCCTTGTGAGGAGCCGTCCTCAGCAGAACCAACCACGAAGCATTAACACTGAAACCACGTCTGTTGTCACTATAGTGCTGCGTCTGTTGACATGAGTCATTCATCCTCCTTGATCCCCTGGAAACTCCAAAAACAATCATCGCTGATACTAATCATGTTTATTTGGCGTTGGTTCAACTCTGTGGCCATTTTTCAGCCTGTGGTTTTTTCGATCAGTGCTGAGATCATTAGATGATTAATTGATTGGTCAATTAGCCATTTAATATTATTTATCAAGTACAGAGCTCTTCCCTTTAACTAAGAACAATGTGCTGTCTGTCATAGTACATTACCATACATTACAACATTGCCATACATTACAACATTCTAAATTAGATTCATGAGCTGGATGCAATATAACTTCATTCTAACGTGCACGTGTCTTGTGTTTGGTCTGAATGACAATAAAGTGAATGTTAAATGCAGAGTATTCTCGGACTCCAGCTTCTCTACGGTGACGATCGGTTGTTTTTCTCTGTATTATATCTCAGTTATATGAATATGTGTTTATATTAGTCAGGGATTAGTCATGGAGGGAAACTAAAAACTTAATAACAATCAATTTAATGACATCACATTGGACATTGGGATTCTGTTTAATGATGTTTGAACACCAAATACTGAATGATGCAAGAAAACAACCTGCAATGGTGATAATAGGAGAAAATAATAGACACATTTAATAAAATGGCTTTGCAGCTGATCATGTTCATTATTAGCTGAAACTATGGGAGAGCTGTTTAAAAGCATTATTTTGTATGTGAGGAAACAGTTATTACTTTGATAGCTCTCTGTAATTATGACTCATATTCTGAAAAATGAAAATGTAAACAGACTATTTATTAAACTCATTTCAACACACACACATTCAAACATCAGTCTCAATGTGAGAGCTATAGACCAGTTATAGATCAGAGCTGGGTATGATATCTGGGATATATCATCCTCCTGCGTCAGTCACCACAAGTTTGGAAACGTGCTGCTTGTGCTGTGTTTGAGGAGCAGGCTATTCCCTGGCTCGGCTTCATTCACAAACATGTGTCCACGGTGTGAAGGGGGTAGATGGGCCTTTTAGCTCCGCTGCTGAAAACAGCCCAAACCCTTTGTGAGTCACGCGTTTTAACCATTGCATTGCTGCGGATGCTCTCCGGCTCGAACATGCACTATCAACATAAACACGTTTCCCGACTGGTTTCCTGACAAAATCCACTTTTCTCTGCGTGATGCTCGGCGCTCACCTTTGTCCGTGGTCCACGCCGTCTCCGACACGGCGCCGTAGCTCCTGAGCGCGCGCTCGTTGTCCGAAATAGATCGCTTCAGCTCCATGTCGGCGAGAGAGAGAGAGAGAGAGAGAGGAGAGAGAGAGATGTGGTGGAGGTCCTGATGCTGCTGCTGCTGCTTCTGCTGCTGGATGTGCCGCTTCCTCTGTTTGCGATCTCAACTTCACCAGGTGACAAGGCTCCGGCGACCCGAGACGATGCGCATCTTTATCCGAGCTCCTTCAAGTCCCTGGACCGTGTGTGGGGATGGAGAGCAGGGCAGAGGAGAGGATGCAGGGAGCATGCGCAGTGCGAGCAGGGATGTGAGGATGCAGGGAGACACCCACTGAGGAGGGCTGGGAGGAGATGGCGTTCAAACTGAAACAATAGGCACTGAAGTTTTCACAGCCTGTCAGAGGATCAGGTTTTAGTTTGTGGAAACGCCCACATGCTCGGCCAGGAGATACTTCATGTGTTTGAGGACAGTGTCTGTTGTAAACCTGCCTCTTTGGAATGGACCTCAGAATTATTCATGTCATTAGTGAGTCGTCCTATAACACTTCTAAATCATGCTGTCTTTTTTATTGTTTGCAGTTACTGGACGCTGTGTGGAGAGCTTTTTATAAACAGTCTATATAAAGTTAGAAAACTTTCTTTTCATCCTATCTGTACTAAGTGTTTTTCACAAATTTTTTTCACATCATCTCACGGCACTTTAATGCGGCTCCAGAGGAGGCTAACAGAGGAAAACATGGTGTAAATGACCTTGATGGTCAATTTTGAATGTTGGGACTTACAGACACTTGGATGACACCAGAGGAGCAGTATGGAGGATTTTAATGTTTAATTCTGTTGTTTTTTACATTTGAAGAAGTGGTCACCATTTACTTCAATTGTATTGGATTTGGCTGCAACACTGTTTGCCCCTGAAACTGTTTTGTGGATTCAAACACTTCATCCACTCCTCCATCGACATAGTGGGGAGTCGATAGAGCGAATTTTCATTTTTGGGTGAACTATCCTTTAAAAAATTATACAAAAACCCAACATTTCCCACAATGAGCAGCATTTTGGCAACAGTGGAGAAAGAAACCTCCCTCATTAACTGGAAGAAACCTTTAGCAGAACCAGACTTTACGTAGGCGGCCATCGTCGCCATGATAGAGACCAGCACCAGCAACATGCATGAATGTCTGTGTTAGTCTGATATGGTGAAATAAAAAGACAAATGATCTGATCTGGCGGGACGGATAATGTTGGGTGCAGTTGCTGTACCACTGCTGTAGTGCATCAGAGAAAGACATGTTTATCTGAAGACACATGTTTATTACATTTTTATTAATATATATAGACATAAAGTCGAAATCTCACCGGACTGCACTGCACTTCCATGGATCCTTAAAAATTCATATGTTAAGTGTGAAATCAGAAAGATGAGCGAGATACAATGTTGACTTACAGACAGACAGATGTCTGCGGGATTAAAAGGTAGATAATGGGTGAGAGTGTTTGCAGGGGTGATAGCACATAATTCCTGTTGTCTCTGAAGTGTACTGGTTATTATTTACATGCTGTTACAACTGACAAAGGTTAAATGGCAGATGTTTCCACATAAGGGGATCTGGTTGCAGAAGGTAAAATTAGACAAATGGAATCTGTTGGAGGAGCCCAATACAAAATTAGACATATCTTTATTTATAGGTACCCTTTATGCTTCTTCTTTTCTTTTTGGAGTCTTAGAAGTAGATGTCAGTCAAAACAGACGCCACAGAGAATCAAAACACAAGCTGCAGAATAAAGCTACTGTTTGCAGGCAGACCTTTCAAAGAACACACTGTGCTCAATATATTCCCACAAGAAATGTAGACAGAGCTGCCGTTGCATGTAAAAGACGTGTGAGTTATACACACGAGCCAAAACACAAGAGTAACAGCTGGTTTCTGGTAGCTATAGCTGTATGCTCGTTCAATAATCACATCACACTGAAACAAAGGGGGGGTTTCATTTTATTCAACTATAAATAGTGTCTCAATTTAGCATTTACAGTTAGTGTAACTATAGTGCAAAATGTAATAAAATTATATTATGTCTTTCTATGTGACCTGTCAAAAAGATTCTGACAGAATTCTACTATTCTAGTTTTCAGTTGCTGATATGAACAAATGAAATATTCATTAATTTAACCTTTCAGTTCCAGTGTTGCTCATCAGTTTAAAAATAATCAGGAATTCATTAACACAAAAGGAATAGTACAGTACATTAAGTTATTATAATTAAGGGTGCAGTGGCAAAAGGGATCAAACAGTAGTGGTGACAACAGTGTTTTAGTGTTTTTTTCTGTGCCTCAATTCAAACACTGTAGTATTATTACCACGGTATAAATTTAGCTGAGAAAAACTAAAATAGATACATCAGGACTTTCAGTAAAACATGGGAAGTGTGAATGTTTTGTTATCTACCTGAGAAGAAAGAGAAAAGTTTCCCCTAACCCTTTAAACTCTATGTATAGGAATAACAGTCATACTGAGCTGCTCTCTATTTATAAAATGACCTCTGTAGAAAACTATGTGCTGGAGGCAGCTGATGTTACATTTCAAGAGTCACAGCTGATAAGTAAAACCTGTAATGTAACATTTTCACAAAGAGGTACAACTTAAAAAAAGAAGGTTATAAAAGCAGCTGTATCTGGAAACAGGGCAAGTACGACATCAAGCAGGCAGCAAGTCCACATTCATGCTGTTAATGGTTGTAAAATCGTTATCAGACAAACAAAGTGATATTCAGTAGTATCTCATTAGCACTTGTTTAGATGTAAAGTGTAAAAGGTTAAAATGTGGACATCGAACATGTATTTTATGATATACGTTTGCTCAGTGCATTATGGTCCTTCAGTGTGCCCCCAGTGTGAGCTGGAGTCAGTGCAGACAGGCACTCTGTTACAGATGCAAATAACAGTTAAAGCACGTTTGCTCTTAAAGAAAGAGCGATATCTGAATTACATTTTTTTAAGTTTTATGAACCTTAAGACCTAAGCTAATGTGTTAGCTGCCACTCCACATAGTGGTAAAAATGATTTCCTTCACTCGTTCCAGTTTTTCATTTAGGTGAAAATCGGAGGAATCTGAAACTTCCATCGATACAGCTTCTGTCCCACACATTAGAAGTCCACATGAGTGTTTTCAATAAATAAAACAACAACTAAAACTGAGAAATATAGCATGGTTATGGAAAAATAGGATGTCTTTTCCCAATTAAATGATATATCTTGAGTGAGATTTGAAAAATATACTGCAAATACATCCATACATCCCCTTACAGCATAGTATCCTGCTCATACCAGTGTTTTACTGTTCAGCGTGTTTCAGTTCTAAGTAGATTTAGACGCTGCTGTTCCATCTTTGAGAGCCAAAGCCTTGACTTCAGTGTCCACTTTCTCCTTTGTGGATTCTGATTCATCCTGTTGATTGGAGAACATCCATTTCAGAGCAGCACCGGCTGTGCCATCGCCGCTCTGATGTGAGAAACACAGGAAGATGGCCCAGACGAAGGCGCAGCAGCCGGTGAAAGTGGTCCGTACGAAAAGAGGCACCAAGGCAAAGTTCAGAAACTGAGGGACAGGTAGAGATCGCACTATATTAATACCCTTTTACTGGTACAAATAATAAATACTTAATTAAGTGGATATTATGTGCTTAAATTAGAAAATTCCTTCACAAATACTGATGTATGGCTCCATTTTTTTCAAAAATGTGCAGGTCTTGTAATTGTACAAGATACATCTATTATTTTAAAGGTTTAAAGGCTGGTCTACATATCAATATTCATCATATTGTTAAAAAAAACTGACATTAATGGAAGTGAAGAGAATCTAAAGTCGGAGATCCACTTATTTATGTGATCGTGAAATGTGGTTATATGCCCTGAATCAGTAGTAGGTGGAAATTTGAACTTAGATTTCTTAACTTAGTATAATAGTTTCCAAATGCAAAAAATTAACTGGAGACATTAATATTTACCTGCATGAACGGCCAGAACATTAGCCCCGTCTGAAAAGAGACACAAAACAGAAAGCACGCCAGTCACAAATGTCATCTTCTCACTGTTTGACTTTAAAAGCCACGAGTTCACTGTCACAGCACATCATCACCGTGGATGGAATATTTGAGCAAAAAGCACTTGAAGGTGATACTGACAGGAATGACAGGAAAAACAAGCAGTGACAGGTCATCTGTGCTGCTACTCACTCTATAAGTATTCAGGAATTTTTTTCTCCAGTCTTCAAAGATGTCCTCTTTGCCTTCCAAGAAGCTGATACCTGGATGACACAGACGACACGGGAGAGTTTATTCTCTGGCAGCCTGCTATGTCTTGTTGGAGTTAGGAAAATAAGAATGGAGGAGCTCTCCCTCCCTTAGAATGACATTTGTTTGTCTGTTATTAGGAGAATTATGCAAAAACAACTGGATTAGATTTCTACGTAACTTGGTGGAAGGATGTGGTATGGGTCAGGGAAGATCCAGTTCAATTTTGGTTTGGATCTGGATCAGGCTGTGGATCAAGGGATTTTTTTTCACTCTCTTTAACATTATGAGATAACAACGGTAATAATACACGGATCTTGATGTAAAACATCAGGCACACTTAGGGAGCTGATTTCTGTTAGTGCTTGAAAATTGGTGAAGCATTATTGAATTTAAGGAGAATGTTGAGCCTTGGCAGAGGTATGCTCCCTTCCATTTCTTGTTGTGAAAATCATTAGAACCGAGTTACTTTATTTTCACATTCAACTTTAAACCAGTTAGTATTTGTTTGATTTGAATGATGGCCTACTTTACAGCAACATTTCTACTGTAATAATATCTAAATATCTAAAATATTAAAGGAAGCTTTAAACAGTGCTGCAGGTTCAAGCCACTGATAATACTGACAAGGTGTTATCAGACTGTCACGTGTGTCCGTGTCTGCTGCAGGACACTTCTCTGTTCAGTGGAATCAGTGTTTTTCATGTGACCTCTGCTTGTCATGGTTTGCTTCATAGGACAATGAATAACAGCTGATCTTTACCCCACAAGCGCAGGAGCACAGAGATGACGTGGGTTCTGTTACAAATTGACAGATATGTGATCTGTCTGGGAGTTAACTATTGACTTCCTGTGTGTGTGCACATGTCTTTCTATAGTTATGAGGGACAATTTTGGTTGAATACTATCATTGTGAGGACATTTTGACTTGTCCTCACAAATTCAAAGGTTAAGGTTTAGTTTAGGGTTAGGCATTTAGTTGTGATGGTTAAGGTTAGGGTAAGGGGCTAGGGAATACAGTGTGTGTGTGTGTGTGTGAGAGAGACCTGTGTAGAAGACACTGGTGGCCAGGGGCCCGGCGATGGTCTGGTCCAGCAGCAGCTTCCTCACCACCATCCTGGCAGAGTTCCCGGGAAACCTCCGCTCCAGAAAGCGCATCCAGAAGAAACTAAAGTTGCCATGGAAACTGAACGCGACCACGGCGACGTTGCGCGTGTGGCTCCAGTCCATGTTGTCCCTGCGCGCGAGACACTGGTGCACCAAGTCCCCCCCGGCGAACAGACACCCGTACACCGTGACGTTAGAGACCCACGGAAACCGACGGACGTGTCTCACAAGCGCCTTCAGCATTTTAAAACCAGGGTTAGAATAAAGGCGTGAAAGAGTCAGGAGGTGAGATGTGTCACTTTAGCGGACGGAATCTGAGGGAGCTAGCTGGATGTTCCTGTTACGCACGGCGCCATCATAACGTCATCTCTGGGATGGTCAGTGACACTGTACAGCTCCCCACGATGAACACTATGAATCCTACCAGCCACGGGCTCTCTGATGGACGGGACACAGATGAGGATACTTGCATGTGCGGAGCTGTCATCCACCGACGCTGTCTGCGGGCTGCCTGTCACAAGCCGGCGTCGCCTGGTTCTGCGTAAAAAAAAACAAAAAAAAACGACGCCCGCTGTTTATGAATAGAAGTGAGCGTAGAGTTGAGGGGCGGAGCGACGCTGGTACAACATCAGATCACAGATCAGCTGCTGGAGCTGAGTCTGTCAGGTTGATCTGAGAGGAAACCATCCGGTCACACATCATCCTGACAGTCAGGTTCATCAATGAAACCCACTGTGATATAACCGAGGAGGCTCGAACAGCCTTATTCAGTGGAAATCCTTGCCTGAGGAGTGTGGACTTGTCAGCTCTTTTTGTTATCTTTCTCATTTTTGTTGTCCCGTTTTGTTTTGCGTTGTTTTATTCAATTGCGTTTTGTAAAGATCTTTATTAAAGGTACAGTGTGTAGAATTTTGTGATATCTAATGTTGAAATTGCATGTTGCAGATGAACACCCCTCACCTCACCCTCTCCTTCCAAACATGAAAAACAACCTGTGGAAGCCTTCAATTGACATAAAAACTCAAAAGGTGTTCAGTTTGTCCAGTCTGGACTAATGTAAAAAACATGGCGGCCTCCGTAGAGAGGGTCCCCTCAATGTTAATATTAAAGTATTTAAATATAAAGGACCTTTTCTGGGTTAAAGAAAACTACAATTCATACAATTTAGATGAAACGAACTAGTGAAAACATCATGAGGATTATTCTACATTAAATTTCTGCCAATAGTTCCCTTTCACCTAAATCTTACACACTGGACCTTTAACTTGTTAGATGAGTGTTACAGAAATAAAGTTTTTGTTATTATAATCCATGTATGATACAGACAGCGAAAGCTATTATGAATAGTGCGTTTGCAAGCGTTCTCAGCCCAAACAACTATATTAAATTTAAAAGTTTTTTTTAAATCTGAAAAGGTCCTGCTGGATGAGACTATATTCATACTTGTGACTCTGTCTGGTTTGGTAGTTTTGTGCTAAATGGTAAACTGTAAAAATGTATAGTCCAACCACTCCCACAGCATGTTATACCAGAAATGTCACATTCATATAGTAACAGGTATGGAAAGTTACATGCTGCACTGAGTGGTTTAAGCACCGTGCAACTTTCTGTAGAACAAATTATAAAAAGGCCTTATACACAACATGTTGTTGATATCCATTGTTTTATGTTTCAAAAGAATCTGTATCATCTCTTTTAGATTAACATAGACCTTAACACATGCAATTTTCTAAAGCGTACACATTCAAAGCCAACTATACAGCACATACATTTCACTCTCATCAGGAAGGTGCGTTAGTAGAGAAAATGAACTTTGTTTAGCTTCAGCAGTGAAGTTTAGCTACTGTTAATTTCTTCAGTTTTAACAAGGTGCCAAAATGAATTCATATTTTCATTGTTTATGCTTCATTAAATTCATCACCTTTAATGACTCTGAAGCAGCAGGTCAAGTGCTAGATTTAAAGGGCCACACAGATGTTTTTATGTACATGTTTTAGCCTATTAACTACAAATCAAGTCTTTATTTCCAAAGTATAAGCTCTTAATTGAATTTGCACCTAAATGTATATTTCATATTTTAGATTTTGTAAATAGCAGTGCTTGAAACTCGCAGTATTCTCAATAATCATTGGCAATGTCTTTTCTGTTTGGCAGTTACATGAATACAATCTTTGTTGGTGCATTCAGGTACGTGTGGGAAATGTCAACAGCTGAAAAGCAACCTTTGAATGCAAAACAATCCTCATTGTGCAGCTGATATAATCCTCTGATCCTATTCACAACTCCCACGTCGGCTTCATGTTTACCCTTAAGGTTTGATTTCTTGCCCATAGTAACTGGCAACAGTAATATGAAGGCCATCACATTTCAAGGCTGTCCCGTACTAGTATAAACTGAACTTATACTTTGGAACACAGTTCAGCAGTTGTAGTTTTTAGGCTAAAATACAAAATCAACTGGATAAGCAGGCATAGAAGGACATTGACCTTAACACCCTGCAACCCAGCAGGAGGTGTAAGGTGCAGGCTCTAAACTACCTCACAAGAGTGGAAGTTTACTGTTCAACAGGCATCAACAGAATCATTTATTCTTCCTCTTCTCCCTTTACCGGACCAGCCAGATGAGTCAGGACAGCCAATCAGCAGACATAGGGTCCTGCCTGGTCACCATCTTAATAAGACACGATGAATAAAAAAACTGATAGAGGGTGAAAGAGTCACAGTGTTTCCAATGCACCGAGAGGCAAAAAAAAAATCTGTTTCATGTTTGAGGTTCAGGGGAAAAATGGGAGTGGGCATCTATGACTGGACAGCCCTCTCCCAATCCCCCGCCTCAGTCCTGTGGTACAGCTGCGGATGACCGCCAGGAAACAGGCTGTCCGAGTCGGGGTGCTGTAAAAGGAACTGGATGGTGGACTTCATGTGCTGGACAAAGTGTGGTGGTTCAGCCATCGGAGAAGTGGACAGGTACTGGACAGGAGAGAGAAACACCAGTCATTCACTGTTTTATACCAAGAAACTCATCTTGGAAAGAATTTGTGTAAGAAAAGATCCCCTGAGGAAAGGCACTGGAAAAGGATGAAATAATGAAAAAGGTGAAAACACCTAAGAGGCTAATTACTTCCTTATATCTTTACCTTTAAAATTGTGTCATCATTTTGTGACAACCAGAAGGCAATATCCAGATTTGAAGACCACTCGCAGGGGCCGATTTTTACAAGTCCCCGACTTGAGTCATATATGTCAGCCATCTGCAGGGAAAAGAAGCTTTTTATTTATGATCTTTGAATTGACTTTGAGCTTTTTATATTTGAGACTGTGTCCCACAGGGGATTTAAAAAATATGTTAAAATATTTAAACGACTGCTCAGTTAACACTTTATTATTTTTTAGAGAATCTCCATGGTCTCCAAAACAATTACGGGACTTCAGACTTTGTAAATTATGAATCTTTTAAGTAATTCGTCAACATAGATATAAAAAATATTTATCCAGCTTCTTTAATGTGAGAATTTACTGCTTTTTTTGTTTTATAAGTTTGTAATTTACATGTCTTAAGGTTTTATACTCATTGTTAAGCAAAAAGAAATTTTGCTGACTTTTCTTTGGGCTCTGAGAAATTTCCATTTCCTTCTGTCATGTAATAGACTGATTGATTATTCAATTAAAGGTACAGTGTGTAGAATTTTGTGATATCTAGTGTTGAAGTTGCATGTTGCAGCTGAACACCCCTCACCTCACCCTCTCCTTCCAAACAGTCCTTTAAGTGGAATATATTGATATTAATTAATTCATGAAAATGATAATTAGCTACTACCCACCTTAAAGGTCCAGTGTGTAAGATTTAGGTGAAAGGGATCTATTGGCAGAAATTTAATGTAGAATAATCCTCATGATGTTTTCACTAGTTTGTTTCATCTAAATTGTATGAATTGCAGTTTTCTTTAACCCAGAAAAGGCCCTTTATATTTAAATACTTTATATTTACATTGAGGGGACCCTCTCTACGGAGGCCGCCATGTTTTTTACATTAGTCCAGACTGGACAAACTAAACACCTTTTGAATTGACAATCAAAGGCTACCACAGTTTCTTTTTCATGTTTGGAAGGAGAGGGTGAGGTGAGGGGTGTTCAGCTGCAACATGCAATTCCAACACTAGATATCACAATATTCTACACACTTCACCTTTAAAATTATGTTTTTGTCGCACACAAGGGGAAATTGTTTACCTACAGATATCAATATTATTCATAGAAATTGAAATTTTGTATGACCTGTCCTCCAGTGAAGGTCCGTGCTGATCTCAGCTCCTCTGCAGGTCCTTTATGAGTGAATGATGAAGGGAAAAGATCCCCTGTTTTAACATTTACACCTATGAAGAAATAGACACAATGTATTGGAGGTTATGTGCCATTAAAGAATTGCAGGCCTCTTGTTCCTTTCATCACTTACCTATTCCATACACTACCGGTCTATGAATCCCATCAACAACAACATCGTTCATTTCTACAACAGAGAACAGAAGAGTTCACTGGATGAATTGCTAAAATATTTCTAAAATATTTTCTATATGAAAGAAGCCAAATCAAAAAGTATCAATGTTACCTGTGATGCAACATGTTTCCAGATGAACATCCTCTTTCTGTTTATGAAACGCTGCTGTAAAGTGGAAAAGAGATGTTTAAGTTTTGCCATTTAAATGCTGCCACCATATTTTTTACAAAGAGACATGAGATATCTTCAAAAGGACTATACCCAGTATGTTAAGGCTGAGTTTATGGGATGTCTTTGACTCATCGTTAAATCCCCCAACAAGGTGGAGCTCAAGTCTATAAAATGGAAAGAAGAAGAAGAGAAGAGAAAAAAAGAAATGTTAAAACATTTGAATGGATGCTCAGACTAAGTGATATACACATACCACATGAGTCTGTGGGTTTCATACCTGCCCTCCTTACTGACTTTACTCAGCGACGTGACAGATTTCACAAGGTGTGGGACTTCAGACCAAGTGCTGGAGCCATCACAGTGAGCGAGGCTGACAGCACCACTTCCTGAGAAATAATAACATTCAAGTTATTAAGTTATTAAAACCGCATTGACCTGCAGAATATTGCACACAGAATTATTCTAACTAAAGCAACATTACCAGTGTGTCGCAGAACAACCAAATGGCAGGTGGTGGCGTCATCAGATCCAATTACTGAAACACTATCTGAGAAAAGCAGGGAAAAAAAGCATGTATTGTAATCAGGATGCAGATCAGTGAACCTGAAGAATGGTTTGGGGCGTCAGACATGAAACAAACAGTCTAACTTGTCCAACCGGGCTCCTTATTCATAAGGGCTAAACTTGTGGCTAAACTAACTGAATTAACTAACTAACTGAGGTGTCATGACTCTGTCTCTTCCATGATGGATTGTGGAAAACAAATGCAAGTGACTGAGGCCTTTTCTCATAAAGTTTTTCATAGCAACCAGTTCAAATCATGTGTGTTTGATTTGTCTGTGAAAAAGACTCATACGATTCAGATTGATGTAGCTTCACTCACTGTCTGCTGGGGTCGTTGCAGCAAACTCTCGTTGTTGGATATACAGGAGGCACTTTGGGTCCACTTCAACAAGCGGCCTGGAGCGAAATGTTCTTGCACTATCCTGTGAATTGAGAATTCAAAGTTAAGTTGAGCAGTGGTCATTGTAGATTTGACACTAGCCCACTAATCCATTGTAAATGACTACTGTAAACAGTGGTGTTACTTAATAGATATTAAAACAGACTGCAAATCTTCAACTTTGTGATCTGTTTGGTTGGTTATTATTTGAGTACACCATTTCATTTAGCAGCTGTCACAGAGGTAGCCTCACTGGTTGTCTCTACACAAGAATAATAAAGGATCATCGTGTATGTCATAACATAATTAAACATTTCACGAGTGATTTTAAATGTGCTGCTATGTTTGTATTGTGTCTTTAATAGATCGATCATCACATGTCACTGCCCAATCCGGTTCATTACTGTGAAGCCTGTTTTCGCAGGTTGACACAAAGTACTGGTCAGTGACTCACTGAGGTAAACGAAACCACACTTTGTGGAAACAAACCTGTAAATGAGGATATGTGTCGAACAGTTCCGCTGTGGAGTTTATACGGTCTAACCCTCTATTCTGAATAAACAAAGGCATTTCCTAAAACGAGTTCCTCTGCAGAAATCCGCAGGTCAGCGTAACAACGTAACTTCCTCTCTCAGACATTAAAAACATCGAATCAACCAAATTCCACAGGAAAGAGCGACCACTTCGACTTCCTGGTCATTTCTTCTTCTTCTACGGTTTCCCCGGAAGACAGGCTCGGTGACACCCACTACTGCCACCCGCTGTTAGGGTACGAAGCGCGAGTAGCTCCACCAATCAGATTCACCATTTGTACTAAGCGGACTATTTCACGTAGCGTCGCTGTCACTGTGGGGAGGCTACGCAAAACTACTAGGTGGAGCTACGTCGCTAAAGAGGGCAGGGAAGAGCGGAGCGAGGCGGCCCGTGACGCATCCAGTATTTGTTTACTGAAGTCATTTGAAGCGGAATCATCGTCCATTAAACTCACATCTATGAGCGCAGGAACCCTCGGGGGCTTCACAGGTTTATATCGTCTTTCTTTTGCGCGTAAATACAGAACTTTGCGTCAAATAATCGGCGTGAAGAGTGAGCGAACGTGTCAAACACAGCGGAGAGGATTTGTGCAACATGAGAGGAGGCTCGTCTTATGGAGACAGAGACAGAGACCGTGGGCGAGACAGGTAACCTTACACTTTGTTTATGGGAACAGCACGGTTATTTAGCAGCGAGGCTGCGGTCCCTCACGTCGAGACAGCACAGGACGTGTGGGCAGAGGACATGTTGACACCTCACCACCGTCTCCTCTGTTTGAGTTTACTTCCTCTGTAAACACCTTCAAACCACTGAGCATTTATACAAGCGTGTCATTCTGCTGTATCCTAATGTGGCTCCAGGGTAAATGTCATGTTGTCAAGAAAAGTCTCAATTTGTCCTGATGGTGGCGCTATAGGTGAGGTCACTGGGTTTCTTCTACACAAAATTTGACCGCTGTTATATTTGCAGTGGCCACGGATGATATTTCTCTTTTTGCCCTCTTTGTACATTTGAATTCAAATTGCTGATGCAATGCAATTGAAATCCAAGTTAGGCATTGAGGCAACAAAAGTGGGCCAAGGCATAAGTCTGAGCAAGAAGTTAAGATTGAGAGACAAACATTATAAATACATAAAACACAAGAGTTTTGAATGCAAGTATTCACAACTAGGTACATAATATACAAATACATTCGCCTCAGACATTTTGAGAATCATCACACACTTATACATTTTGTGATGTTCAGCATCAAGCTTCTCTACATAAATCTACTTGAAAAAATATGAGAAACATAAATGTCTCAAATACATATTATTAAGGTAGTGTATTTTTTTCTTATAGTAATTCATTTTAATCTGTAGACTTTATAGAGATCCCTAATAAATCACTCACATGCATAAAGTTTGTATGATCCCTGTGTGGAATTGAGAACAGTTATGAGCAGTCAAGTCTGTAAGTGCAGAGACTTCTGGGCATTTAGATTCAGCTGTAACCATGTTGGTCAGACAAACCCAAAAGACAGATAGATATGATCAGCACATAATTGCTTTGGTAAAGGCTAGTGCTGCAGTAGTGACACTGATTCTCTGGTGGCCTTAATGTCTTAATCAACATTATACAGGCCACGGTTTGGGGCCATGAGTGGTCGAGGTGGAGCCCCACCCATGAAGTTTGGGAATCCAGGTGAGCGTCTCCGCAAGAAGAGGTGGAACATGGACGAGCTGCCAAAATTTGAGAAGAATTTCTATGCTGAACACCCAGAGGTCCAACGCATTAGTCAGGTAAATTTGATATCTAATATCACAAGATATCCTGAGAAATGTTCATAAGTATTAACAAAGTTTACATATATGTTTTTCCCCCTTTTGGTTTAATATCCAGTATGAAATGGAAGAGTATCGCAGGAAGAAAGAGATCACCATCAGAGGCTCTGGCTGTCCAAAAGCTGTCACCGGTTTTCACCAGGCGCAGTTTCCTCGTAAGTAAACCTTACATTACACTCCTCAGCATCTAGGTACTTCAAAATGTCAGTGTTATGTTTTGAAGCCACTTACATACATAATAAAATTAAATAAAACCAGACTAATTAAATGAAAGAGAATATTGCAATGTGAGTAAAATGTGTTTTACGAGAAATAGTGGTATGTGTATTGTGGTGCTGATGTACTAGCTAACAGTAAGGCAGTGGGACTGCTGTTGATTGACTTCCTGTATCTTCTGGTAGAGTATGTGATGGATGTGCTGATGCAGCAGAACTTTAAGGAGCCCACAGCGATCCAGTCCCAGGGCTTCCCTTTGGCCCTGAGCGGCAGGGACATGGTGGGAATCGCACAGACTGGCTCTGGAAAGACACTGGCTGTAAGGACACCTGGCAATCATATTTCTGCATGATGATGACACTTAACTTTATATATATCTTTGTACAGCACATTTTTACAAGATTAGAGTGAAAGCTAAGAACAAATCTATATCAGAAACAGCATTACAATTGAAAAGTGACAGACTGAGTGATTACATAAGTGGAAATACTGCCTTTCTTGGATGAATTAATTGGTTTGTCCTGCCCGCTATCTAACTAATTGTGTTTGTGTCATCTCGCTCCTTTCAGTATCTCCTTCCTGCTATTGTGCACATTAACCATCAGCCCTATCTGGAGAGGGGAGATGGGCCGATTGTAAGTGTTACTCTGAGAAAACATGTCTTATGTAAATCAATGAGCATTCAGTCAGTCTGTAAACTCTCCCTCCTCCTCACCTCAGTGTCTGGTGCTGGCCCCGACCAGAGAGCTGGCTCAGCAGGTTCAGCAGGTTGCATTCGATTATGGCAAGTCCTCTCGTATCAAAAGTACCTGTGTCTATGGCGGAGCACCCAAAGGACCACAGATAAGAGACCTCGAGAGAGGTTGGTATGATTATAGAATTCACATTCAATGGATTGTTCAAAAATCCTGTTCGGTGTACTCGTCCCCTTGTAGTGCTCACACAGCTTTGCAGTGTGGAACAAGAAAATGCTGTGATTGTGCAGAAGGCCCAGTAAATGGCCTCCCAGCTGAATATTCTGCACTTGACCAATTCGTCCACTTCTTTATACTCTCACCTCAGGATGAGAGTATAAAGAAAGTCATAGGCAATTAATAGCCTTACTGATTGGAATGTATTTCAACATAAAGAAGACATGCAGGGTTTTTCCTAACTTGGAAACAAATACCATGTAGTTTGAGTTCATGGAGAAATAAAAAATCACAACATGAAAAGTCCTAACTCGATCGGGGTGCACTTCATCCTCTTGTGGTTTAAATGAGTATAACAAAAGCAAACAGTTTTCAAAGTGGAAAAATAGAAAGATTTGCCTGGCAAAAACATTCAGTGGAATATTCAAAGGAAAAAAAACATGTTCCAGGCAATAAAGACATTTTGACGTACCTCTCATGGCAGCAAGTATATTTTTTTACCTGTTTTCTCAGATGGAAAAGTAACTTTGAACAGTGAACTTGCCTTTGTTAATGAAATAGATCAACTCATTAAATTCATGGCAGCAAAGACTGACACATCAGTGCAGAACATTGACTCTTTGCTATGACTTTTAAAGCTGTTGCCTGGTAACCCTAACCCCAGCATTTCCCTGGAAGGTGTGGCCACATGCTCATCAGTATCAGACAAAGTGTTTGTCAAGTCAACAAACAATCAGCTTATGACTGTTTATCTTATTTTGACAGGTGTTGAGATCTGCATCGCCACACCTGGCCGTCTCATTGACTTCCTAGAGGTGGGGAAGACTAACCTGCGTCGCTGCACCTACCTCGTGCTGGATGAGGCGGACCGCATGTTGGACATGGGCTTTGAGCCACAAATTCGGAAGATAGTTGATCAAATCAGGGTGAGGAGAACGACTTACTTACCATGACTACTGAATTAAAAATTATTATCTTGATCATAACAATCACCTTGATACTTTCACTGTTTCTGTCCTTCAGCCCGACAGACAGACGCTGATGTGGAGTGCAACTTGGCCGAAGGAGGTTCGGCAGCTTGCTGAGGACTTCCTGAGGGACTCTGTGCAGATTAATGTTGGTGCTCTGGAACTCAGCGCCAACCACAACATCCTGCAGATAGTTGATGTCTGCATGGAGACTGAAAAGGACCACAAGTAAGGAAATGCACAAATGTCTGACCACCACTGTGTCATGATCATCTCTGGTGTAATATTATTACGGAACATGAGCTCACACTTTCAGTTGTGTGGATGTGCTGTAAGTGCCTCTGTGTGTTTACAGACTTTTTCAACTTATGGAGGAAATCATGGCTGAAAAGGAAAACAAAACCATCATCTTTGTGGAGACCAAGAAGCGTTGTGATGATCTCACCAGGAGAATGAGGCGGGACGGGTGAGGAATTACCAGCAACAACATGAGAGCAGTTAAAGGTTGAATTCAGTAAAAACAGAAGGTATTCAGAGTGTTCAATAATAATATGGTTTTGTGTTGTAGATGGCCAGCCATGTGTATCCATGGAGACAAGAGCCAGCCAGAAAGAGATTGGGTGCTCACAGGTAAGAATACATCAAATGTAAATGCTAGCTCTGCCCCTTCACTTCTTTGTGGATCAGTTTCTTGTGTAAACTGATGTTCATCTGTCTGGAGGAGTAAAAAAGAATCAGCTTTAAAGCTACTCTTTAACTATCACATGAGTTGAGTAAACCAAGGCAACTTTAATTGAAGAGAAGTTATTTCATTACAAAGAAATTCAACGTGATTTCCATAAAAAACTTCCTGTATATGCAGCACAGTGGCATAGCAATAATAACAAAGCAGCATACAGTATAGAAACATACCCATAACAGTTACACACACACACCACCATTGCCCCACATCCGGTAACACTTTATATCAGGGACCACATATCAACCATTAACTAGTTGCTTATTAGCATGGATATTAGAGGCATATTGGCTCTAGTCATTATAAAGCACTTATTAATGCCTTATTCTTAATGACCTTATTCTGCTATTACTCCATTGATACAGTGTTCCCTTAATAACCTCCTAATTGCTGCTTATTGATGGTAATTAAGGAAGTTGTTGTACATGAATTACAATCAAGTGCTTGGATATGTTTATAGCAAAAAACTAATACAAACACATACAGACACACAATGTGCAGGCACATGCAGGTGTCTAATATCAATATGTGTCAGTCCTGAGCAGAGGAGAGTTGTTATTATTTGTATTTTAAGCTCTTTCCTAGCACTTTGCACTGACCTCTATTCAGTGTGTACAGCCTAACCAATAGCATATCTCTTACCTTAACCAGGACATCAGAAATGACGTTTAGCCTCATTAGGACCTGACTTTGGTCAGTGTAAACAGATTTAGCTTCCCACAACATCCTAGATCAAGCTCAGGCTTGCAACAATATAGGAAATGAAAACAAACACACAAACACTCAGGTGCAGAGGAAATGGGAACTGATAGCAGATAAACTGTACCTTCTCCTTAACTCCCAGCTGTTTGGCTTCTGTTGGCTGCACTGCACAAACCCACACACACATTTAAACAAACGTACACATGCAATCCTCTGCCTTTACTATATCTTCTTTCTTTGCATCTAAAACTCTCTTGCCACAATCAGGTCATATTGATGCTCAGAGAAATGAAAACACCCCAAGCAGCTGTTTATTAGAGTCAATCATTTAACCACTAGAGCACCGCTGCGTAACCACAAAAGCAATGCGGTTTTTGGCCTTATTACTGCGATGTGATAACATCTATGCACAGCAATGTAAACTGTGTTAGACCAGTACGCATTTTTTATCAATGCTGACAATATAAGAGGCTTTAAACTTAAAAGATTCAGTAATGAGAGCAGTGAAGTTTCCTCTGATGTGAAAACTAACTTAATTATAATTTTTGCCTCATATTAATTTCAGCTGAGGAAGCAAGAAAGTTATTTTAAGGAGTTTTGTTGTTTTCACTCTAATCTTATTGACAAGTTTTACAACATGGCTCAGTGGATTCATTTGTAACTCAGTCCCCTAAGGCCTAAATCATCAAAATTGGAGGTGTGTGTCCATTTTCCATTTTAAGGGTTTCCTGAACAATCAGAATGGCTCTCAAAGAGCACATACCTCCACCAAGGCCCAACAGTCAATAAACCCCTGGATCTGCCCCCTGGTCTAGATGTACACCAAAATTCAATGGGTGCCAGCTTGAGTCATACAACATCCTTCCCATACATTTCATGATATTCCATAATATCCCAAATATGCAGATGAACACATAACCACCGTCTTTGAGGTTGTAACCATTGGTCCTGGACCTGGAGCTGTTTTAATACCATGTGTGTTTTGAACTTGCTTGGCCAGCGTAGGTTTATTGAGGCTTGGTGTCAAGTGTATTTGATCAGCTGTAGATACAACAGGAAAGAGTGAATACTGAGAATTTATACTCACTTTTGTCCTGATGTGAACGGCAGCACGGTTCTCTCCAGTATCTGTTTTCTCAGATGGCTCTGACTTTGTGGTGGTGGGCTGCAGCTGTTCCTCTACAATAAAAGTCATTCATGGACATTACATTTAATGTGTGTCCACTGACTTTGGCAGAAATGTTCATGCCCTCAGCCATGCTAGACTTTAATGTAACAGTGTCGAGGTGGGTGGTTGGAACCAAGGATGCAAGAGTGGTTATATTTGCTCCAGCGGCGTTCACAGACCCTGTTGTCAATGAATGGCTAAAACAATGAGCTGCGATTCAACTTGTTCGAAGCCGACTCGTTCCTTCATATCATCATGTTGGTCTCTCTATTCCTATTACACAACTATTTCCCTGGTGGAGAGATGAGAGTCATTTTGCAGCATCACACAGAGTAATCAAACACTTTTTCATATTTTGTCTAACACTCAGATACAAATCACAATTGTCTGTCGAGCTGTCTCAAATGGTTGAGACAGCTCCTTTAAGTAATTCAAGCAAATTAACAATTTCGTCTCTTTTTGGTGGGGAGTAGGTTTTAGTTGAAAGAGCAGTGAGCTCTGTAGCATGAGGAGACAGGCCTGAAACTGGAGCAGGAGCAGGCAGGAGACTCTGGCTCTGAGTTCACACTCAGGAATTGTTGAGGAAATTTCCTCATCGTGGTTCAGGAACTAAGTGGTGTCCGAGCATGGCTAGTGAGGGCTGTGTGGAGGAAGTCTGGGTCTGTTGGGTTCATGCAGAGGCCAGATAATAGACTTTTGCATTGGTGAAAGTGCACACACAGGTCAAAATATAATTTATTGAAGATGGTGGAGGAGTTAATGGTTCTGTGGATGAGGGTAGAGAGGCACAGACTTGAGAGAGGCTTGAGCCGCAGAACAGCGAGAAAGAAATGTGTGGACGATAAGGTAAGTCTGGAAGATAGGATGAGGGGCAATGCGCTGGAGACAAAGCAGATGAACTGCAGTGGAGAAGAGACAGGAGTCAGGACGCAGGTAACAGCCTGAGGCAGAATAACAAAGGAACGAACAGGCAGGGACTGAGGCCATGATCTGACCGGGTGGGAGCGACAGAGGTGAGGATTTGTCGAGGGCTTTATTATGTTGATGAGGTGCAGCTCATGTTGCTTCAACTCCCACAGACGGCTTCCCCCTGTAAACTCCCTTCATCTCGACTAAGAATAAATTGTTTTACAAACTGGAGCCAGAAAATAGCAGGTTTTCAAGTGTGAACCGTAATGACATCAGCGTTAATCTCATATTCTATGAAGAAAGAGCTCTGCTTTGAATTGTGCAATTAATCCTGATAAGAATTGATTTAATAACCAGAGCTAATTTGGTGAAAAGGTGCGATCAGTCAGAGCATGATCACCCAAGCTGTCACAGCAATCTCACTGCAGTCCATGTAAAGGTTTTAGATACCAGATTCCAGCCAATATTCACTGAAATAACCATCCCTCCAGCCAATGTTGCAAGCATGGCTAAAAAATTGTTTACAACTTTATATAATTTTGATTTAGTATCACAAAATGTATAATTTATCAAATCTGCAACATAATTATTATTTAATAAGAAAGAAACAAGCTCACCCGCTCACGGATTGTGTTTTTTTGGATAAAGGCAAAATGTATGACTGAAACACACTATGCACATGATAAGGAACAATGGTTTTAGTTGCTATTTTCTCAATTTCCATTCTGTCAGTGAAATTCATGTTTCAGTATTACAAACGACATCTTGCTTGAAAAAGGGGTTGTTGGATTCTGTTTAGCTGCATATTTGGAGTATTTGGTAATGTTTGATTTTTAAAGAAGTCAGACCAACATGACCCCCGTGGCTACAAATCAAATAATGAGAAATCACAAGGCAGAATTTCTAAAATGTGCATTTTTATCAATTCAGAGCAAAATGTGTTCTTCATTACAGTGAAGGCTGGGTTTGAAAGAGTGAAGGCTTTTAAATATAGTCTAAAACACTCAAGTGGATGTATCATCACATTTTTATTTGACAGTTATCAACAATACATTTGTCAAATAATAGCAGTTATATTTATACTGTATATCAAAAAAGAAAGTATTGCTATGTGTTTGGATGTTCTGGGTACATTGTACTCTGTGCAGCCATTGTCTCTTGTTTGCCAGACATGTGCCCTCTGCTGTGTGATGTTGTTGTGTTAATTGTGATAAATAGCAAACAGCATTAAAGTAGAGTGTCAGTCAACTTCTATGTGTATTTGGGACCTAGCTTTGCTTCACAGGGGATGTATTCAGGATTTGTTGTTTTCTTATTGAATAAATAACACATTTCCAGACTCCTCTCATAGGCAGCAAAGTCTGTGTATTATAGGATATGCATAATGTATTTATATGTGTTTTTCCAAGGGGTTAGGAGTTAGGGGAATAAACTGTGAATTCAGTCATCGCCTAAGACAAAAGAGATAAATTCATGGGCCACAATTTTCAGACATAGAGCCGAACAAACAGGATCTTTTCACCTCAGGGATTTATTCATCCTGCTATTTTTGTAGAACATATCAATTTGCTTATGGAACAAGGCAGAACCCACTGTGTGTTTTATTGTTTGCAGAAGGCTGTTCAGTTATAATTCCATGTTCAGCATGTAGTTAGCAGAGATTTAAAGAGAAAGGATACTCATGACTACAGAAACACACTGTGGGAGGGTGTCTGGTATCTTATCTCATCCCTTTAAACAACTATTACTTTGTGAGCAAACATACAGACTACAAGTGCAGCACTGTGTGCTTATGTGCGTTATTGCAATTTGGCTTTGTACGTCAACCAAATTTTCAACCTCCCTTACTTGGAGTGTCACAAGTTAATGCATGTACACACATATGCACAACTACAAAATGTCATAAAGGATTTCTTGTAGATTGTATAGATAATTGTAGTATAGATTTCAGGAACATATTTTCTGGCCTCATCATCATTTGATTAGACAGGTTATTAGACGCTCTCTCAATTGGAACTCTAGGGTTAGGCCCATATACAAAAGTACTCTCTTTAACATTTGGTTAAAGATGAAAGCTTAATAGAATATTATGCATAGATATAAAACATTAAA